CCCGGTTCCCCGGGAATCCACTATAGCGACCGGGCAATTAGTCCGCAGTCGGGAAGCATCCTCCAGTCCACCAAAAATGACGTGGATGGTAGGCTTTCCGGACGGGCGGTCGGTTGTACTGGAGGGGCGGCGGCTGGAGCTGTATAAGCTGGCGTATATGGTGGATAGCCAACCGGGGGGGTGTAGCACATCGGTTGGCCTGGCCAATACCCATACGGTGGAGGTGGGACCGGGTATGGATACTGGGCGGGATACATCATCGGCTGCTGCTGGTATGGCAGACCGGGTGTTGGGTACCCCGGTTGTATGTAATTCACCGGCTGTTGTGCGGCCGGGTATGCATTTGATGGATGCGGTGGTGAGAGGTTGAGGTTGAGGTCCATCGTCTGACCCTGCTGTTGGGTAGCATAGTGGTCGGAGGAGCTCGCCGCATCCGCCTGGTCGTCGGCAAAGTTGTTGTGTGCCCACGGATACATGTTGATATAGAGGTCGGGTGCTCGTCAAGACGTTGGTTTCTTGCACGGGTCCCCACAGACGGCGCCAAAATGATACTGCTAATTATACGTAAGCAATATATAATAACACGAGACCAATTAAAGCAAGTAAAAGACTTTATTGATCACAATAGAGGCCCTAAGTACAATCTACTTGGTTGCTCTGAGTACCGACTGACTGCGGTCGGGATTCTCTAACAACAACCTATCGATCGTCCAAAAGTCCCCTATACTGTAGCTACTGTGGGTATTTATAGCCGCCATGCCGGGGACAAGATTCCAGCCGTTCGGCATGCCCTCCACGTAGCCACCACGTGTCATCCTCCCGGGTGCCCTGCCTGTCGATGTAGAGAGCCGCCACGTGTCCTTCGTCAACTCTCTCGCCAAAGGGCTACCGCTCGGTGGTCGACACCGTCGCTCGGGCAACTCCCGGTCGGCCCACGACCGGGTTCTTCTCAAGGAGCCCGACCTGTTACCTGCAAAGACAAAGAGAAAAGGACAAAGGCCTCTCGGTCGTGGTGAAGCTATGTCGGTCGGGTTATTCCCTACCATGGGCAATTTATATCCTGCACCAGGGTGCGCATTGAATTGTGCGCCCTGATGCAAAACGACATCGTTTCAGAATTTTATTTATTTATTTTTTTTAATGAAATTTCACTTCCTGTGTTGGCGGTTAATTTTCTTTAAAAAATATCTCATGTTCAAAAATATATATAATTTTATACTAGAATACACAAAATACACATACTTTTTTTTAAAAAAAAAAAAGATAATACATATAATCTAACATAATACATAATATACATCAACTTTTAATATAATAAACATCAACTCTTAACATAATACACATAAATTTCCTGTTTCGGATGTACATAATTGTATAAAAAAAGATGTAAACATGATTGTATAAAAAATGTACATGATTGTATAAAAATGTACATAATTGTATAAAAAATATACATAATTATATAATACACATAATTACGTCAACTCCCTACATAACTTACCAAAACGACGTCGTTTTAAAAGGCGCGGAGTGCACAATGTTACACGGGCCGTGGTGCAGGGTATAACGATCCTTCTATATGCTATTCTCTTTGGACCTACACAAGAAGTGAACGTGAGCATCTTATATACAAGAATTAATAAATAAATATAATGATGCCTATAAGTTAATATGATGCCTGATTTTATTATTATATTTGCCTCTCTTTTTTTTCTTTTTTTTCGTGGACTCGTCGTTCAAGTTTTATATTTTATTCATGTTGACTAAATCTATTTACCAGCAATACGATGGGCCTAGATCCATTTTGTAAGGTGAATTCGAGTCTAAAATTTATAATTTACAATTTACATACGGAATGTTTACAATTTCAATTGAGAACATTTAGTAGATAAATTGTAAATATTTAATATGTAAGATGGTTAACATTCAGTATGTAAAATTGTGTATTTGTCAACCCAGGTCCACCTTGCTAGGTGGAACTGAGTCCACAGAATAATTTGCCGCAAATTATGCCCTGGAAACGTGTTCACCATGAATGGTGAACACGGGTCCAAACGGTGTCGTTTTTACGAGAAAAAATTTTTTAGGTAATGTGTTGTTAACGGCGCGCGTTTGTTCAGATTATGAATTTTCTATTATGAGATTATGAATGTACTGTAAATTCATAATCTCATAACAGAAAATTCATAATCGCATAAAAGAAAAATATTTATTAAATTATGAATTTTCTGTTATGAGATTATGAATTTACAGTTATGTAATTATAAATTTTCTGTAAATTCATAATCTCATAACAGAAAATTCATAATTTCATAACAGAAAATTCATAATCTCATAACAGAAAATTCATAATTTCATAACAGAAAATTCATAATTTCATAACAGAAAATACATAATATCCTAAAAGAAAGTTCATAATTTCATAACTGCACATTCATAAATTCATGCTTGCACATTCATAATTTATGAATATTGAAGAAACGTGCGCGAAAAAAAAAAAAAAAAAAAAAAAAAAAAAAAAAAAAAGAATAACAGTGCACCGTTACCGTTGAGACCGTGTTCACCATCCCGATGGCATAACGATTGATAATTTTCCATCTATTTACTTTTTGCAAATTATATATGTATTAGGAGTTATTATGCACATTTGGGCCAGCCCTAGCCAGGGTAACGGCACAATGCCTCTAATTTTAAGGGGTTCAATATTTAAAAAAAAAAATATTTTAGATATAATTTTTTTTTTTTAGAATTCATAGATTAATCTTAATTGTAATGAAAAATAAAATTTTAGTAGAAATTGACATCGAAATCTTGGCGAATAATTTTGTGTATAAATATGCACGAAAAGTAACACATTTAAATTAACTTTTGAATTGTATTTTTTTTTCTTTGTTGAAATTTTATTCATTATACTTGGACAAAAAAATTTTAATTATATTTTTATATATTTTTGTCATAGAATACAAAACTTGAAGTCCAAATAGATTTGGACTGAATTACCTCATATATAGAGATTTTTTACATCTTTTAGACTTCTATCTTCATCTTTCAAATGTCTTTTGGAATTATGTATTTTACCTTTATAAATAAAAATCTCTATCATTATATAGTGAAATCTAAATGTTTATAAAATCTCTCTCTCTACATACATACATACATACATACATACATACATACATACATACATACATACATACATACATACATACATATATATATATATATATATATATATATATATATATATATATATATATATATATTTTTATCGCCCTATTATTATCTTTGTCTTTACATTTTACTCTATTCTATTTAGATTGCATCTCAGAACAAAAAAACAATGAAGTTTCAAATTAAACTCTTAGCCAGGATCCCTAGTTTTTATTTAACGGCCTTGATGCACATTGTGAATCCTGATATTGATTGTGTTTATCTTTTTAATATACTAGTATTTCACCCGTGCGATGCACGGACTAAAAATTTGAAATATCGTATTTATGTTAAGAAATTGATAATAATTGTTAGTCTTATTATAATCGAAGTATAAATATATATTGAAAACCGAATGCATTGCAAAATGTAAAATTACTATTACATATATACAGAATAATATTAATATGTATTGAAAATTCAAAAATATTACAAATTATTGAATATTTAAATGTAAACTACATTTCGTATTGTATTCAAATAAACAGTATAGTCCCCACATATTAAGACTTCGAGACCATCTGGATTACTAACCCTCGAGGCTGCTACGTACAACTGACCATGGTTAAACACATGTTTCTTTAATAGCAGTCCCACATGAGATAAAGTTTGCCTTGACTTTTGTTTATTGTCATAGCGTATGACAACATGACTGGAAATTGCTTCCTCTGAAATTTAAACGGTAGTATTTGGGTCTGTAGGAGTTAATGCCAATCGTGGTATTAGAACCTTGTTGCCTACCTTGTTTCCACAAAAAATTTGAGCTTCAATGACCTGGTTTTCTAATTGTGTAATGATCAACCTTGTCCCGTTACACAATCTCATTGAGTGTTCTACATTTCGCAAAAGCATAATTGGCGATCCAACATTTAATGTTAAAGAATCGTTTGTAACACCGGAGCATCTCAAACTGTTTAGAATTTTTTGTTGTGTGAACCTTTGATAACATATCAACATTTGTATCTGACTTGCATACCGAATCACAACTCAAATATGTCTTGGAAGTTGCTTCATTCATACTGTTCATGTATTCATTAACCTAGTCCACAACATTTAATTTTGAAGCTAATATAGCTCTAGACTCCAGGTATTTATGATCTTTTTGATCATTACAGTACGAAAGAAATGTGCTTTTAACAATTTTTTTTTATGAGGTCACCTTTATTTTTTAAAACTTTGCATATTGCATGTCCCGGATACACGACTAAATATTTTAAATATTTATGCAATTTTATAATGAATAACGATAAATGATTATAAAATGCAGTTGTTTAGGATAAAAGAAATTGAAGTACGTTAAATAATTAAATAAATACATGCATTACAAATATATTTAAAAAAACAAAACTTTGTATTCAATATTATGTAGAAAATAGAATATTACACATTATTAAACATTTTTATGATGAACTACGTATTATAATTACTTTTAAGTTTAATTTTAGTACCATTATTATTATTTTGTATTTATTTTTGAAAACACAATTAATGATATTGATAAAAATATTATTATGACTACTATTATTTTTGTTAGTAATAATAATAATAATAAGCATTATTGTTAATTTTATTATTTTTATTATACGGAGTATATGGTATCATTATTGTTTTTTTTTTTTACTATTACTATTATTACGAATTATTATTATTATTATTATTATTATTATTATTATTATTATTATTATTATTAATAAGAAAAAAAGATAGGGATTAGATGAAAACCAGTGGTGCTCTGTCTCTCTCTAGAATTTTCCTGTCGTCTTTGTTCTTCGACATCTCTCTAACTCCAGATCTGGAATTTGCAGTGATTTTTGAGTCTTTTTTTATGATTCGAAAGTTTCAGAGCACTACCAGTGTTCGTCTTAGCTAGATTTGTGGTTCCTAGGTTAATCTGTTACTATTTTTTTTTTCTAACCGTGATCTTGCATACGCAAATGTCGCCGGCTAATGTACTGGGAAGAGCTCTTCGTCAGATTACCAAATCCGGTTGAGTCTCTGACCATTGATGACGGTAACCGATTGTTTCAACATGATAGCCGATTTACACCACAAATCTAGGTTTTTAAAAAAAAAAAATCTTCTACTGACTTAGAGATTTTATTTCAATATGTTCAATTTAGTGTAAGATTTTATCATGCATGCTTGTATACTGCATTTTTAAGATCCATAAATGTTATGCTAAAAAATTTGTGTTAGATAACCCAAATTTGTCAGTATCCAGCACCTCAAAAATCTCATTAATAGATTATTTTTTTTCTGACTTCTACTTGAATACATATAATTTTTTCAATTTTCACCAAAAAAATAATTTCTTAAAAATATTCTACTGCTCTAGGAATTTTAGCTTCATACGTTCAGCTTACTGTTAGATTATTTAATGCATGTGTGTATACATATGTAGTAAGACCTTAAATTTAGTATCTGCGTAACTCATATTGTATACTTACAGACCCTGTAATAATTGTATCTGTATTTGTGTCGATTTACTAATTTTAGAAAGAACATATATATTGTTAAAGATGTATTTAAACGATTTGGTTAAAGAACTGTTTTTTTTACATATATGCAATCTCTAACAACACATAACTGAAGTTACAGATTAGTTTTATAGCAGAGAATTAGTAATTTTAGAATTGATTTTAGAAGTGTCTGATGAAATTTGAAAAAAATGCTAGAACTTTGCCTAAAAGCAGTGACAGATTAGTTTTATAGCAGAGGATTAGTAATTTAATAGTGGTGGCTGTGCATATATTCTTGGTATAATAACAGTTTATGGGAAATTGCAAATATGATTATTAATTGTCTTTAGTATTGAATACATAACCCAAAAGCATATGAATTTAAGTATGGGGAATTCTATTTGCACCACCCTAATTGCTATTTGTACCACCTATTTAATAGGTGTGATAACTTTTAGGTGGTGTAAATGAAAAATTGTTATTTGCATCACCTTCATTAATTTTAGTCAAACATTATTTTTTTAACAAATATTTATTATAAATGACACTTTTTCTCCTTAGGTATATGCTTTTAACACTTTTTCCCTCTTAGTTAGTTATTCATGTATCCACATTTGCCTCCTAGTTATATTAAAAGTGGCATGTTTTCTTCCTTTTATGTTTGATAGACATTTTTACCATTAAAACTAAATATTTCATTTATTTTTTCTTCTCCAACAAATTATTGTTTATATGTACGGATGGTCACGGTTCAGTTCAAACAATTTTTTTAATTTATTATTGTCAGTTCAAAATTTATTTATTGATTATAAATTTTATTTCTTATTTAAAAAAATTAATAATTATTTTTTTGTATTTTAATAATTATTTTTCAATTATTAAATTAAATATTGTAAATACAATATCATAATTATTTTGTCATATACTTAATAAAAATGTAATTTTAAACAATTAAATTGTGGTTCATGTTTTCTTATTCTGTACTTCAAATACCATTATTAAAAACATTTTTTTACCTATTCTAACATTACAAACAAATTTTTAATATTTAGTTCGTGCATCGCACGGGACAATACTAATTATATATAATATGATTAAGCCAACTATCATGTAATATGATGACATTTCAATTACCATTTCAAATAAATGGTCATAGGTCCGAACCTTGGGAGTGGAGCTTAGATTCTTAGGGTTAAAAATGTTTAAGAAAATATAGAACAAATCTAACTAATTGTGAAGGCACAACACAACTTTATTTTCTTATACTTACGATTCAGAACCGAAAAAATGAAATAAAATAAAATAACTATTGAATTTATATTATTTTAAAAATAAGAAATAGAATTTATAATAAATAAATAAATAAATAAATTTTGAATTGGCAATAAAATAAAAAATTGTTTCGAACCATAATCATCCGTACATATTAACAATAATTTGTTGGAGAAGAAAAAATAAATGAAATATTTAGTTTTAAGGGTAAAAATGTTCACCTAACATAAAATGTAGAAAATCTGCAACTTTTAATATAATTAAGGGAGCAAATGTGGATGAACAAATAACAGAGAGAAAAAAAAAAGTGATATAATCATATAACTCAGAGGGAAAAAGTGTACAATTTTCCCTTAACCGGAAACTTTTAATTCAATTGCTATAGTGTTCGGTTCAGTTAGAATCGAACAGTGGTCATCCCTACGTATACGCAATAATTTGTTAGAGAAAAAAATAAATAAAATATTTACTTTAAGGGTAAAAATGTCAATTTAATATATCGAAGGAGGGGGGGGGGGGGGGGGGGGGGAGGAATCGTCACTTTTACAATAGTTGAGGGGCTAATATGCTAACATGAATAATTCAGGGGTAAACAGTACTATAAGTATATAACTTAGCGGAAAAAAGTATCATTTTCTCTTAATTAAATTTTGAATTAAAAAATTATTAATTACACCTCATAAATGAGGTTTGACCAAGGTGGTGTAAATAGCAAAATGAATCCCCATTTGGCTATTTACACCACCTATGTAATTATTGAAAATTTTCACCTTTTTACAATTTTAAGATACTTTATACCTACTTGTGTTGCTATTTGCACCACCCTTTGGTCAAAAGTAGGTAAAAAGTATCTTGAGATTTTAAAAAGGTGAAAATTTTCAATAATTACATAGGTGGTGTAAATAGCCAAATGGGGATTCATTTTGCTATTTACACCACCTTGGTCAAACCTCATTTATGAGGTGTAATTAATAATTTTTTAATTCAAAATTTAATTAAGAGAAAATGATACTTTTTCTCATAAGTTATATACTTATAGTACTTTTTACCCCTTAATTATTCATGTTAGCATATTAGCCCTTCAAATATTCTAAAAGTGACAATCCCCCCCCCTCCCCCCCCCCCCCCCCCCCCTTCGATATATTAAATTGACATTTTTACCCTTAAAGTAAATATTTTATTTATTTTTCTTCTCTAACAAATTATTGCGTATACGTAGGGATGACCACGGTTCGGTTCTAACTGAACCGGACACTATAGCAATCGAATTAAAAGTTTCCGGTTAATGGAAAATTGTACACTTTTTCCCTCTGAGTTATATGATTATATCACTTTTTTTTCTCTCAGTTATTTGTTCATCCACATTTGCTCCCTCAATTATATTAAAAGTGGCAGATTTTCTACACTTTATGTTAGGTGAACATTTTTACCCTTAAAACTAAATATTTCATTTATTTTTTTCTTCTCTAACAAATTATTGTTAATATGTACAGATGATTATGGTTCGAAATAATTTTTTATTTTATTGCCAATTCAAAATTTATTTATTTATTTATTATAAAATTTTCTATTTCTTATTTTTAAAATAATATAAATTCAATAATTATTTTATTTTATTTTATTTCATTTTTTCGGTTCTGAATCATAAGTATAAGAAAATAAAGTTGTGTTGTGCCTTCACAATTAGTTAGATTTGTTCTATATTTTCTTAAACATTTTTAACCCTAAGAATCTAAGCTCCACTCCCAAGGTTCAGACCTATGACCATTTATTTGAAATGGTAATTGAAATGTCATCATATTACATGATAGTTGGTTTAATCATATTATATATAATTAGTATTGTCCCGTGCGATGCACGGACTAAATATTAAAAATTTGTTTGTAATGTTAGAATAGGTAAAAAAATATTTTTAATAATGGTATTTGAAATACAGAAGAAGAAAACATGAACCACAATTTAATTGTTTAAAATTACATTTTTATTAAGTATATGACAAAATAATTATGATATTGTATTTACAATATTTAATTTAATAATTGAAAATAGTATGAAAAAGTTACTATATATTATTAATCGCAACTAGCGGTATACATATTTAATCTTGAGTATGTTTACTCCTAGTATGCTACCCATGCGATGCACGGAATGAATATTGGACAACATTATTATAATATTATTTATTAAAAAATACATAACCTAATATCAACATAGTTGCAATTCATATTCATATATATATATATATATATATATATATATATATATATATATATATATATATATATACACACATACCATATGGTCTTGTGAAAATTACATGTTGTTAATACCAACATTTAACCATTAATATCAAAATTTAATTTTCACAAGACCATATGGCTTTATTATAATTAAGATTAAGATAATCATATAAAAACCAATTGCTGTTAAATCAAAGTAATTGTAGATTACTAGTATATATGTCCTTTAATGAAGGTGTGCATTCCTCAAAAAGAGAGAAATCAAATATAATCTTAGATATAAAATCACACTCCAAAATGCCATTGGAACGTAATGGATTGTCAACTTCAATATGACTGCGAAAGCCTAAAAAATCAATATTTTTCCCCCTTTTTAATTGGAATGAAGTTCGGAAGAGTAATATATAACACGTGTGATTGCAAATTAAAACAAACTCCCTTTGGCTTTGCTTACGATTCAGAACCGAAAAAATAAAATACAAAAAAATAATTATTAATTTTTTTTAAATAAGAAATAAAATTTATAATCAATAAATAAATTTTGAACTGACAATAATAAATAAATAAAATTGTTTGAACTGAACCGTGACCATCCGTACATATAAACAATAATTTGTTGGAGAAGAAAAAATAAATGAAATATTTAGTTTTAATGGTAAAAATGTCTATCAAACATAAAAGGAAGAAAACATGCCACTTTTAATATAACTAGGAGGCAAATGTGGATACATGAATAACTAAGAGGGAAAAAGTGTTAAAAGCATATACCTAAGGGGAAAAAGTGTCATTTATAATAAATATTTGTTAAAAAGATAATGTTTGACTAAAATTAATGAAGGTGGTGCAAATAGCAATTTTTCATTTACACCACCTAAAAGTTATCACACCTATTAAATAGGTGGTGCAAATAGCAATTAGGGTGGTGCAAATAGAATTCCCCTTGTTTTTTTATTAAAAGTATTGTAAATTAGTCAATTTCTTTTATTTATCTCATGTTTCAGTAAAATAGTTTTTATTGCAGATTTGTAGATATAGTGCATAACTTTACAGTGTGCATTTGTAAAGTTTATTCCTTGGAGGGTTTAAACCCTAGGCGCTACAATTCAACAATGTATTTGTCAAGTTATGCACTGTATTTTTGAGTAACTTTTTAGTGTTTACTAAATAGACTTTGCAAACATTAATCTTTTTTTTTTTTTGTGTTTTTGTGACTTATGTTTTTGAACACATCTATAACACATCTACATGCAACAACTAATTAATTATTTTTTTTACACAGTAAATAGGCTCAGTTAATACACAAATGAGGTTGCAAAGCTGAGGATGGAAACAAATTGAAAGAGTTGAATCTGTGTTAAATAGTAAAATTTGTGGAAGGTAATATTTATTGCTGTGGTTCTGCTTCCTCTTGCTGCCTATAGTAACTTTGCCAATTATTTGTCTCATATTGTTTGATAGTCTGTAGTTTGCTTTTTGCTGTGAAAACAGATTCTTTTCAATTCTTCTAGCAAGTGTAGATGACTATTCATTATTTTGACAATGTATACTAATTTTGTCCCCAATAAATAATGTAATCATGATGCACAGTTCTTTAGATCACATGTTTAAAGTTAGCTAACAATGTTTTTCCAGGTTATTGGCATATGATGAAAATGTTAATTCTGATGCCACAACTAGTATCTGAACCTATACTTAGTTCAATTTACTGCTTCTCATTTTTACAGATACGTGTCAAATCACATATCAGATTGAATGGAATTTTGCTGTCCGGACATAGATAGCAAAATCCATAAACTCTGATGTTTTTATCCTCTATTGCTGCTTGCATTTAAATGTTTTACAGTTCTAAAAAACAAATTTGACTGCATCACAACTTCTATGTGTTTTGCTCATATTGTTTGCTGGTCAACTTTTGATTTATACAACTGAGTTCCAAGAAATTAAATTTGTACATGTGAAAGACCCCATTTTATACCACTTTGAAGCATTGATAACTGTATTCTCATTGACTATGTTTGGAAGTCTTAAGGTTTTCTTTTGAATGTACTGCAAAGATAGTCACATGGAAAGCAGAGCTCAAAATCATTAAAAAAAAAAAAGACTTCTCTACTGCAGAAGATAGTCACAGTGTGAAAGATGGCTTTCAGGTATGAATCCAAGCCCAAACTGTTTTAGTTGTTTTTGCTGGATTTTTGCTCAGAGAATTCAAGGTTGTGCAATCCATGATGACTATTTGCAGGAGACCACCTTGTAGAAGATGAAAGCCAAATGGTTTTCAAATAGTTGATAATTTGGCCCATCAGCAAATCTTGGCTTCTATGGTCTTAACATAGGATTAAAGAGTGTGGAGAACTAAATGAAACGACACAAAAAAACACAAAACTACAGAAAGCAAGTATATTTCTAGCTCCCTTCATTTTGTGTTTCCATTTAATCTATAACATATATCAAGCAGGTTTAGCCTATTATTCAATCATTTTTAAAAATCTAATTACTTCCAATTAGATTTTTTCCATCTCTATGGAATAAGTTTAGCCTTCTTAACATTAACACCTTCACTGTTGACTTCATCCCCTGCCAATTGAATATTTAAAATATATATATATATATATATATATATATATATATATATATATATATATATATATATATTTTCTAGGCACATACATACATCAAGGTCTCTGGCAAGTAAATTAACACTACATAAGTGCATATTAGTTTTATTCATAAAACAGAGACAAAAAGACCTGGAAAACTGCTGTTAGTATGATAAAAAAACAAAAACAAAATTGGAAATTTTTTTTTACCTCATCGTGAAATAAACATTCTTTTCTTTATGAGCTGATATCCGTCACATATACATATTGGGAAGACTTTTTCCTTTGCAGAGTAATACGTATTTTGCGAAAGTTTTTCAGGGTTGCAATTCTTCATTTGAGTGGACTTCTTTATATAGAGGAAGAGTTAAATCAGGACTCTTATCATAGAGAAACGAAGAGTCCTTCTTTGGAATAATACATCATAATGATTATGCTATTTCAAATGTTATTTCAAAATTTTTGTATTCACATTACTCAGAAAAAATTTGTAATTTACAGCCTACTCTTCGATTTCCCAGGTTATTGGAATTATGCACGCGTGCCTTGTCTCGGGGCTTTCAAAGCCATTAATTCAGCCGTCGAAATAGATAATTAACCAAAGCTAAACCTGAGCAGTGGCTTTAAAGCAATGTGTTTAAAAAAAAAATCTGAAGGTTAAACACACAATAATTAAAACGACATAGTTTTAAGTGGGCGGGAAAATGAAGCAATTTGATTGGCCATGGCTATATGGCTTTAATATATAGAAGGATTATTATGTACTTAATATTATATACATTTATTACAAAATGTATATAATATGTTAATTAATTGTATAAAATAATTTTATTGTATGTACATAATTTGGATGGAACGTTATGCTGTGAGCACGTGCCCACCTTGCAAGGTGGGCACGATTCCATATCTATAATTTTTTATACTATAGATTCATAATTTCTATACTGTAGATTCATAAAATTTATACTTTAGATTCATAATTTTTAAACCATAGATTAATAATTTAAATACAGTAGATTCATAATTTCTATACAATAGATTCATAATTTCTATCACTACAAGAAAAATGCACATAGACAACGGTTAATAACCGTTGTCGTAGGGGTAAAATTTCTGTTGTTGAAGCCGGTGTTGTTGTAAGTCCCGCACATAGACAACGGTTAAAAAACCGTTGTCTTTTCTAGAAACAACAACGGTTTTTTAACCGTTGTCTATTAAGTGTTGTTGAAGTTGGTGTTGTTGTAGGTAACACACATAGACAACGGTTTTAAACCGTTGTCTTTTCTAGAAACGACAACGGTTTTTTAACTGTTGTCTATTAAGTGTTGTTGAAACCGGTGTTGTTAAAAGTCACTCACATAGACAACGATTTAAAACCGTTGTCTTTTCTCAAAACGACAACGGTTTTTTAACCATTGTCTATTAAGTGTTGTTGAAACCGGTGTTGTTAAAAGTCACGCACATAGACAACGGTTTTTAACCGTTGTCTTTTCTATAAACGACAACGGTTTTTTAACCGTTGTCTATTAAGTGTTGTTGAAACTGGTGTTGTTAAAAGTCACGTACATAGACAACGATTTTAAACCGTTGTCGTTTCTTTCAAAAACAACAGTTTTTGACCCATTGTCTATTCAGTGTTGTTAAAACAGGTGTTGTTAAAAGTGATGCACATAGACAACAGTTTTTAACTGTTGTCTTTTCTTTAAAAGACAACAGTTATAAACTGTTGTCTTTTGTAAAAAAGTCAACAGATTTCAAACTGTTGTCTATTGTAAAATAGACAACGGTTTTTAACCTGCTTAAATTTTAATCATATAAAAAATCAATTTATCCATTCACCATGGCCAAGTGTAGTTACATAGGAGCTACAAGTATATCAAAAAATCAATATATAGGATGAGAGATGTGAATCATCAATTGAATTAACTAACAGAATAGGAGCTACAAGTATATCAGAAATAGACCTCTAACTAACGCTCAGTAAAAGTCTAAACTAACTACACTATTCTATAACAACATTTGACTACTACAATTGTAACACAATAATAATAATAATAATAATAATAATAATAATAATAATAATAATAATAATAATAATAATAATAATAATAATAATAATAACACACCCCCTCAAGCTAACGGTTGGTGCGCCACAACATTGAGCTTGTCCCGTAGAGCGGCAAAACGCGGAGCTGGCAGCGGTTTGGTGAGGATGTCGGCTAGCTGGTCTGTACTAGAAACATAGTTGACAACGAAGTCCCCGGAGGCTACTTTATCTCGAACGAAGTGGTAGTCAATCTCCACATGTTTAGTGCGGGCATGAAAAACAGGATTGGCACAGAGGTAGGTAGCCCCAAGATTATCACACCACAGGGTGGCCGGCTGACCAGAGTGTAACCCAAGTTCACGTAGCAAAGAAACTACCCAAGTGACTTCGGCGGATACATCAGCCAGCGCCTTGTATTTAGCCTCGGTAGACGAGCGGGCAACGGTACGCTGCTTCTTCGATAACCAAGAAATGATATTAGACCCCAAATAAACCGCAAATCCACTTGCGCTCTTCCTATCTATCGGACAACCCGCCCAGTCGGAGTCAGAAAAGGCATGTATAGTAGTGGAAGAGGACGGTGTTAATTGCAGTCCGTAGTGAAGCGTCCCTTTAATGTAACGCAGTACCCGTTTAACTAGAGCCCAATGATCAATAGTTGGTGCATGCATAAATTGACACAGATGGTTTACAGCATACGACAAGTCTGGTCGAGTAACGGTGAGATACTGTAAGGCCCCAACAACGCGTCGATACTGTGTAGGATTGTCAAACAACTCGTCAGACGGAGTAACTGCCTTAGTGACAGCAGCTGGTGTAGCCAGAGGTTTGCCATCGAACATACCGGACCGACCAAGTAAATCAGACATATATCGGCGCTGCAAAAGAATAATATTATCCCCATCTGCGACTGTCTCAATCCCTAAGAAGAAACCTGGTGTTCCGAGATCTCGAATTTTGAATGCTGAGGCAAGGCGTTGCAATAAGTCATGGACCAGAACTGAATCATTGCTCATCATAATAATATCGTCTACGTAGACCAGTAAGTAAACCCGAGAGGTCCCTTGAGTATAGTAGAACAGAGAGACATCAGTTTTGGAAGCCTTGAACCCTATAGTAATTAGAAAATCATGCAGCCTTTTAAACCAGGCCCGTGGAACCTGTTTGAGGCCATAGAGAGACCGTTGCAGTAAACAGACATGGTCAGGGCTAGTTGGGTCCTCGTACCCCGGGGGTTGCTTCATATACACTGTTTCTGCCAGATGGTCGTTTAAGAAGGCATTATGAACGTCTAACTGGCGTAGTGTCCACCTGTTAGACACAGCAAGAGAAAATAGCATACGCACCGTGGTTGGTTTGACCACGGGGCTAAAAGTGTCAAAGATATCTTCCCCTGCAACCTGGTTGAACCCCTTTGCAACAAGACGCGCTTTATAGCGCTCTACCGAGCCATCGACATTGCGTTTGGTCCTGAACACCCACTTACACCCAATAATATTCATATGTGGTTCCGGTGCCACTAACCGCCAGGTATGATTATGTAACAGCGCATTAAACTCTAGATCCATTGCCTCCCGCCAATGAGGATGTCCTACAGCTTGGGAGTAGCAAGATGGGTCAGTGGTTACAGTTAATGCCTGAAACGGCTCATTTGAGCCTTTAGTCATATGCCGGAGACGCATGACATGATCCCGGGTTTGAGGCTGAGTACGAGCCTTACGAGTCGCCCGCGGTCTAGCAGGTGCAGTGTGAGTAATGACCAATGGTGGCGGGACACTAGCCAAAGGCACGGTGTAGCACCCCGTGTTACGACCCCTGAACCCAAATTAATTAATTAATTACTCAGCCCAAAAAGGGAGTTAAAAATCCACTAATTAGCTAAAAGGGGTCCACCATAGTCCATGGGTCCTTATCCCTAAAGTCAATCCCTTAGTCCTATAGGAAGTAGAATTAGCAAAGCCACACCACTTAGACCCTAATTAGGACTCTTATATATATATATATATATATATATATATATATATATATATATATATATATATATATATATATATAGGGACATAAGAGGCACCTAGAACTCACACCACAATAACTTTCATCACACAAGAATTCCCCAAGAATTCCCATAGGAGAAATCAAGAAAGAGGAAATCTTAAAGAAAAACCCTTCATAGCCAAGGAAATTAATTAAGGCTAAGAGGTAACCCATGTCTCAACAAAACCTATTTTATTCGCTATAATCTCCTCTTTGGCTTCTTCTATATGCTTGTGTCTTGATGAATTCCTTTATAATATTTGTGATATGATCTTGATGATTGATGGGATGAATTTATGTGTGATCTTGATGATCTTGATGTTGAAAAGAGGTTCTTGATATTTATGTGATGATTCTTGATAAATCTTGATGTTTCTTGATACTAAAGATAAAATACGATTTTGACGATTTGGGTGAGATTAGAGCCCTAGGTTGGATTGGGAATTTGTATTGTGATGTTCTTGATATATATATTTGGGCGGGAATTCGCATGTTCGGGTGTTGTTTATGTTTAGAAGTCATAATAGGATGAGTTCTACGTGATTCTTGCTTTTGATCCATTAATTGCCTACGTGGTGTTGTTAATTGCGTTTAAAAGTGTCTAAGCATGGTTTCGGGTTCCACGAAGGATCCCGGGACGCATCTTTGATAAAAGAGTTAGTGGGGGGTAGGTGGGGGTAGGGGTACCCGCCACCTACCCGCTGCCCGAAAATCACCGCCAGGCAGCGGGCAGGCGTTCGCCCGCCGGCAACCCGCTGCCCGGGCGATGATCTCCAGCGGGCAGTCGGCGGGTGACCCCCACCCACCGGCTACCCGCTGGTCCGTACCCACCCCGGGTCTTCGGCTTCCCCGTTTGATGTTCCCCATTCCCCGTGCTGTCCCAACGGACCCCGTTTGTCGTGCTTGAGTCTAGTTTGATGTTTTGGGTACCGTTCGTAGGATAAAA